CAAAAGTGTTTTGTTTTAAATATTCCACTCCCTTTGAATACAACTTAACTATACAATGTGTGTTTCTCACTACTATGACAGGTAACCCGTTATGAGTCTACAATGATGGTAAATTAGCTTATTTTGATGATGTTAAATGCAAATTTTGAATACAACTTAACTATACAATGTGTGTTTCTCACTACTATGACAGGTAACCCGTTATGAGTCTACAATGATGGTAAATTAGCTTATTTTGATGATGTTAAATGCAGATTTTGAATCTTCGACTTTTGTAGATGTTTTAGTTATATGAGGGAAACGATCTGTAATGGGGGGTTGAATAGATCGTCTGATGAAAATTTTCTTATTAAATTTTTTTCATGAAAAGTATTTTTCTATGGCAAGCGGAAGCAAATCCAGATTGACTCTCGTATATCCGAACTGTTGTTGGTAGAATCGGATATACGTACAAACATAATAGAATGTATGTCAAAGATTAGAAAAGCTAATCAACAACTTCAATATAATATGTTTGAATATAAACCACACTTAAGATAAAATATTTACAATGAAAAGTAAAATAAAACTTGACTAAGGAGTTTTGTCAAACACTTATTGTGAAGTAATTTTATCGAACACTTAGTGTGCAATACACCAAACTTGATTCTATTTATGTTGAAGTTATAAAAATTCAATTGGAATGGTTTAGATTGCAATAGTTTCACAAAAATAGTTTTAAACACATCAACACAATCAAAATTTTCAACACTTCAAATTACATACTAATTGTTCTCAAAATCAAAAGATATACATACATACATACATACATACATACATACATACATACATACATACATACATATATATATATATATATATATATATATATATATATATAGAGAGAGAGAGAGAGAGAGAGAGAGAGAGAGAGAGAGAGAGAGCACCAAGATTTATTTAGGCAGTTCCTCAATTGTCCTCACTATGGGTACGTCTGTCATAAATTCAAAATCGAATTGAGATATTATAATTAACCTTTGTAAATCGGTTTATAAGAGAAATAGTAGAAATTTAAACCCTCAAATCTTATTTTTGATGTTGATTCTAGCTCCTTCTCTATTCTTGATCTTAGCAAGATCAAGTCACACAAGATCTCCTATATGATCCTCCAGTTACCGCTACTCCTTTGGCCGAACCTTCCGTTCTTCAACGACTGAATCCAAATTGCAAAATCTTGCCCCAAGCCTTTCAATTGATCCTCTAGTTACCATTACTCCTTTGTAAGAGTCCCTATTCTTCAAAGCCTTCACTAGGCTGAATCCATGTTGACAAGACTTGTGCAAAAACCTCCAAATCAACGCTTAATCTTGGAGTAAAAATCCTAAAGATTTTATCCTTGAATCCCATTAAGAAAACCTCAACCTAATTTGATTACACAAACCTAAATTAGACCTTATCAATCTTGTCTTGACAATAAACAACAAAAATAACTATGTGTAGTTGATGAATGCGTCAAAGAAAGGTTGAAGATTATGAGAATTCTTTGTATCTTCCAGGTTTCAATGCTTATAAACGATGCATGGATATGGATTAATATGTATGTATGTGAGTAGAAAATAATAGTGTAAAACAGAATTTTAGCCAAAAATGCATATTTTAAAATTTGGTACGAAATGTATCGACTCTAAAATGGAATGAGTCAATACATATGTTGAATGAATCAATACGAAGCCAAATAGAGTCAATACATTGAAAAGCAATAGCCAATTTATTTAAAAATGTTTTCGTATGAGTCAACTACAAACACAGGAGAGTCGATCCATTGGCTCAATCTATCGACTCGTCCTTCAATGTATTGATAAATTGAAGGCAAAGACAAATCCTTGAAAACACCTTTTAGATGGAGTCGACTCCAACCAAGAATGAGTTGCCCCATTTGCAGGATATATCGACCCATTTCTCCTACCTATTGATACTTTAGAGGTAGATTCAAATTCTTTGAAAATCAATTCAGTAGGTATCGGCCCATACCAAAGATGTATCGGCCCATGCATGATTTTTTAAGGAAAAACTTATATTTTTAGCATGTGATGGCATATGTAATCTAATTTTACATGTCCTATAATGATGATGCACTTAAAGACAAAGACTATAAGGTTCAACATACACAAAGAGTTAAGTTACCTAGTTTTGACATCATGCAAAACTCATCTAAGAGAATATTTTTATGGGTGTTGAAAACTGAACCAACCCAACAGAAAACCGCAAACCAAACCAAACTAGAATCGCAAAAAAACAGATATGGTTTGGGTTTATTTAGGCCATTTATTAACGAAATCGAGTAGTTCGGTTTGGTTTATGGTTTGTATTTTTCAAACCAAACTAAACCAAACCAAACTGCATTATGTTACATCCTAAACTCCACTTATCCCACATTCAACACAAAACTCAAACCTATTATGTCTTAACCTTACGACTATAAACTATTTTCTCTTACTCACATTTAGGGTTTCAATTTCAACCTTCTCAAATCTCTCATAATAGTATCATGCATTCTTCTCATCTTCTTTTCCATATACGTCGCACATCTTCTACTCTAATATCTCCTTTCTTATGTTCTTTCTTTTTCATCTTCTCATTTTTATGTTACTGTTTTCTCTTCCAATTACGCTTTTATCACAGTTTACTTCTCTAATCTCGCATATCTTCTGTTCTTTCTTTTGCTTCTTCTATAATCTCTCGTATCATATGTTTTTATTTTATGTTTTATTATAATGTCTTTGATAATATTTTATGCTACTATTTTATAATTTTTATTACACTTTTGTCTAGTTTGATTTTTGTATATTGAATGAGAAGATTTTGTCTAAATATGATGAGTTTTGATGTTATTTGGTAAGGTATGAATAACTAAACAAAAAGTTATGTTATTCTCTATAGGTGTATGTATGGCTCAATAAAAATCTTGTAAAAAAACGAACCAATCGAACCAAACCAAATCGTATTGATTTGGTTTGGTTTGGTTCAATTTTATTTCTAAAAACCAACCGAACTGCATGTTTTTTTCTCTTGTGCTTCAGATAATTTTTATCGTCAAAACCGCCCAAAACCGCACCGTGAACACCCCTAAATATTGCACTCATAGTTTTGAGCATTGTTAGGCTTTGTTAACTAGTGTTTAGAATGATGTTTGGTAAGATTTATGATTAAATATAGTTTTAATTGAATTTGTGGGTTATTTGATTAATGTTGGATATGTGCACGCTTGATGATGATATTGTGTTAATTTATTTGAGTTACGATGATGATGATGTGTTGTTGTATGAGCATGAATTATGTTGTTGAATTGTGATTATGTTGTTGTGGGATGATAGTTCAGGAGGGGAACTATTATCGTTTGGTCAATGCATATTTTGTTTATCAACGAGAGGGGACTTTGAATATTATGTTGTTGCTACATAGACATGTTGTGATATGAATTTATCATGTCGTTGTTATTGATGAAAGAGACAAATTACAATCTGAGCAGGGCGGATTGGTGACTTGTCACGAATCCGAGCAGGGTGGATTCAGGGTTCAAGTAGGTGAACCCAGTTCCTGAGTAAACCAGTTGATGATTATATGGTACCACATGCATATGAGTCTAGTCTAAGTTGTGAGTCTCATTCAATAGATTAAATGATGAATATGCGATTGCTTTGTGTATGTTGCTTAATTGGGTGCGATAATGATATTGTATGATTGTTGTTGAATGTGTATATGTTTGAATTCTACTTTGTATCTTATGTCGTTAATTTATTGATGTGAAACCTCACCCCCTTTGCTTTGACGTTATCCACCATGGACACCTTGCAGATACTTATGAGTAAAGTTTGCTGCTGTGAGTGGAAGATAGCTTTTGAAGTTATTTCTTTTTAGTTTTGTTGTTTATTTGGTGGATATGCTCTGATCATGTAACATCGGGGTTGGGACACTTGTTTTAATTGTTGAATTCGAGTTAATATTTTGAGTAGTTTTATGTCATTATCAAAGTTGATGACAAACATGATTTGTTGAGTATTTTAATTTGATTTTCCGCTGCTATTTAAATAAAGTTCAAATGTTTTGAAGTTGGTAACACTTTAATCAGCCTATAATGCTTGGTATATAAGTTTTAGGGTTAGGTTGTTACATAGGGCACCTTTGACTCCGCCACCATCTACATGTCATCTTCAACTACTGCTTGGACATCCTCAACAACAGGCTCATCATCAACATCTTTGGTCCAACTAGCAACTCTAGATCCTCTACGTCGAGTAGTGTGAGGTGCATGAGCTAGTCGACCTCCAACCATATTCTGTGAGAATCAGTCAGGCTATGCTCCCTACTCAGATATGAGAGTCCTCTAAATCATTTCCCCTAGCACGAGCCTTCCATGTAGAAGCTTCAACTTTATCAAGCTGCCGAGAAGCAATCGTGTCATCTGATTCTTGGGTCGTCACTGAAAAATTTAAACAATAATATTTAACCAACAATTTTTTTGTAAAATCCGGTAAAAACCATGGATATTTTAGTATTTTTTTTTTGTAAATTTCAGTTAAATGGATACAATTATCAGATATTTTGAAAAAAAATTGATAAAAATGAATACTTACTTGTCAGAAATGCTGTAGTCTCTTTGAAAAATCTAGTAAACACAAGAGATTTTCAAAAAATTTGATTTTTTCCAATAATTTTCTAAAATAAATTTTAATACTGTTCAGGATTAATATAGTAAATGCATAAGTGTGTGGAGGATGTTAGTTCAAAGTGTGGAGGTGGCTGGATACAATTTCGAAATATTGTATTACGAAGCTCAAGTCCAAAGTGTAAATAGCGGGCCAAAAGGTAAACTGAAAACTGAAGGCCCAAACAAAGCACACAGAAAAAAAAACACTTTCACCAGCACAAGCATAAACGAACACAGTTATTCTTGTTCTTAGAGGTTGAAGTTCTACTAAGCGAGTGTCATAGCCTAATCGATCCGTATCCAAATTTCAAAGATGAACACAGACATCACAGCATCCACAAAACCAGAGTACCCAGTAATCGATCGCAACCCTCCATTCACCACCGTCGTCGGAAACTTCAACACCCTCGATTATCTCCGTTTCGTTACCATCACCGGTGTTTCCGTCACCGTCGGCTATCTCTCCGGTAAAGATCTTCCTCTATTTCTCTCTTGCATTGAATCAATTAGTTGTAGATCAACAATTAGGGGATTTTATTTTTTGTGTTTTAGGGATTAAGCCTGGAATCAGAGGACCTTCAATGGTAACCGGTGGATTGATTGGTGTCATGGGTGGATTCATGTATGCTTACCAGAATTCTGCTGGGAGAATTATGGGTTTCTTTCCCAATGACGGTGAGGTTGCCCGTTATAACAAGAAATGATTTTTTTTTTCTTCATATTGGGAAAAAAACCCTTTTTATGAGCCATTGAATAATCAGATTTTCCTTCAGTTCTACATTGTTGTTTGAGGGATTCTGTGTATCAATTTGGTTAACAAGTTAGGAGATTTCTGTTTTGTTTTATTGATTTCCATTTTCCAGGAGATAAACTTAGGGCAAAAGTGTTATGTCTTTAAATATATCACTCCCTTTGAAAACAACTCTATGAACTCTATGATGTGTGCTTCTCACCAGTAATGAAAAAGTGTTATGTCTTTAAATATATCACTCCCTTTGAAAACAACTCTATGAACTCTATGATGTGTGCTTCTCACCAGTAATGAACTCTTAAAGGCTTTATGGTATATGTGATGAGGTATTGATTCACCTTTCTTGAGTGCTATTGACCGATAAAAGTATAAGACTTACTATAAGTACTATGATATGCTCTATGTATTAAACTATAAGAGTTACTATAAGTATTATGAAATGAGTTGTTTCACTTAGTTTTGGGATTTTGAATCTTAAAGCGCTTTGTTTTTTGCAGTGTTATACTGCAATACTAAATGGAACTTCGGTTTTGTTGTATAGTTGATTTCCATGCTTAGATGTCTTAAGGAAAGGCGAATCTATCTCTAATCTATTCTAAGTTATGAAGCACATATACCTCTAAGAGTAGGCATGTCGCACAGTCTAACACGCGTCGGTATGTAACACTTGTATGACACCCATATGGCACGTGTCATAAAAGTCAAACAAGTGTCTCCATAAAAATGGTTTTTTCCTTTGTTTTGACACTCTTTGAATCGGTGTCTACACCCTTATGACGCTCACACAACACGTGTCAGACAATTCAGACAAGTGTTTAAAAATATATTTTTTCTTTACTTCAACCCAGCTTATATATATTTTTGGGCAAATCTCTTGCACATCTGTAAACATTAAGCATGTCTTGCAGCAATATTATCAATGCAGAATTAAAGACTATCAATTTTGATTATAATATTTTTAACTTTTTTAATAATAGATGAACAAATGAATGTTAAATACTATCATATATGTAGAGGTGTTGGTGTTCTATATTTTTTGACATAATTGGTATCGGAGTGTCTGTCGGAATCTGTACTTCACTGTAAGTAGTAGGTCAATTCCACAATTTGAGTGTATAGTAATTAACACTGTAACTCCATTAGCTTGGTTGGTATATGAAAGAAGGAGTTACTGATTATTCTTATCAGAGCTGCACATTGCAAAAAGAATTAAGTTTAAATTCTTAAATTTCATCTGCCCTTACTGGAATTATGTGGTTGTGTTAAATTGTAAGCTTCTTGTATCATACTTCCTACCTTTCCTTCCAATTTGTGATAGCTTGGGATGATAATATGTTGCCATGTTAGGAATGTCCATTGTTACGCTTCTGTTCTTACGGTTCCCCTGAATAGGGATGATCACCAACCATCTTTATACTATCATTTGCCTTGGTACTAAAAAAATCCACATTAGAATTTGAACTCAAGGTTTGTTCTTTTGCCTTGCATTTTGGATTTTGTTATGATTAACTTGAGTCTAGCATTCTGTAAGAATGATGCGTCATATTGGAAGTTTATGACTGTTTCAGTTATGCCTGTTCAAAATAATTGGAAAACCAAACTGAATTTAACTGAACCAATTTTATAAGTTTATGAATTGAACCAGTATTTCACACACAGTGCTCTAAGAGCGACTTTTCTTTGTTTAGTTTAGGCAAATATTTTGGTTTTGCCTGCTGTTAGTGGTTAAGATTTTTTGACCCTCTTTGGTGTGGAGGTTGTGACGGAATTGGGTTTCTGATCTGCTCTCTTCAGCAGCTGTCGTCAGATTTACTGGTTTCATAGTTAGTGTGTTAAGGGCACTTTTATTTTGTTTAAAGGGGCATTGGGTTGTTTGGCTGATTTTTGTCTGTGCTTTGGGTTGCATCTATGCTAAAGCTTTGGTTGTGATTGGTAGAGGTGTTTCGTAGCCTTTGTTGCTCTGTGCTAAGGTGAGTTTGATCGAATCTGGACATATGGCTAGGCATTTGAGGAGGTGGTTTTTCTTACTTTTGTTTGCGGCTTTGTTTTCACTGATGTTTAGTTGTTCATTCAATCGCAACGTGTGTTTGAAGTGGCTTTTTATATAATATTATACTTCTAAGAAAAACAAACAATTGCCTCAGAAAAATACTCAAAATGTTTTCGTTTCTTTCTGTTTGGGTCAAAATTACTAAATCAATTTTCACTGAACTGTTATCAAAGTTCAGTTTGATTCATTAGGATGAATTGCTCTTTCCACTCTTAGGGGTTCTTCGGACGTACTTTTTTCATACAAAACTCAAGATGAAAACGGTGAGAAATTTTTATTCTCTTAGAAATTTAATTTGAAGATGTATATTTGTATGCACAAAAGATTGATTCAGAGATGTATTTTTGTGATTCCTTTAGTTCATTAGCATTTGAGTTTTTCAGAGACGCATATCCAAAATATACTCTATTAGTTCAAAACAAGAATAGGAAAAAACAATGGTAGAATGGAAAACTAAAATAAATTAACATTAAAATAAATATATAGATAAATATTACATAAATTTAACATTATATATCATTAAAAATAGGTGGTTTAGGACATTGCAATATTCTTATAATATATTCGGCTGATCTTTAAATTGTCACATTCATTTCAATCAGACATTTTGTTGAGTAACAGTAAAAGGTTTTTCACATAGCCTTCAAATCATCATTTGTCTTTAGTTTAAGCATGGTGAACCATATCTTTCTTTCATTGTTTATTAAGTATGAACAGTATTTGAGTTTAACAACTCTTTGATTTTTTGGATATTGTAGGAGAGTATTCTGTTTGATTTTTATATCAAATAGAAATACGTCCTCGTAGATTCGAAATTGAAGTGAGTGTTTTGTGCCATTGAAATACACAAATGCAAGATGATGATATGTAGTCATTCTGGTTTGTGTAAAGAAAATGGAATGAGAGAACCTATTTATAGAAGTTGTATAGCAATAAGGATCTTACAAACACGATCATATATGTAGGGAAGACTTCGTAGATACATATTTGGATTCATCTTTTTTTTTTCTTTCAAAAAATAAGGGTTTATCCGTAGATTTACGTCTGTATAATTCTCTGTTTTGTTCTTTTTTTATAAGAATTACAAAGTGTGTTTGGAGATGTATCTCCGAATTTAAAAATAGTGTCGTACAAAACAAATTGATTATGTATAACACAATTTCAAAAGACAATAATTGTCCAAAAAATATCACCCTAACTTTATAACATTATGTAGTGCGTTACATAAAAAAAAATGTGTTGCATTTTTATATTACAACTAAAACGCATCAAAACATGTCACTTCCTAAATTTATTGGTGATTCATTCTTCAATCTTTCCTTATTTGCTTCTCTTTCAATGTCGTTCATTTTGGTGAACTTTCAATCTTTACTAAAAAGTGATCCAACTAAGTTTCAACATTTTATGTGAAATGTGTCGTCCATTCCAATGACGTCTTTGGTATAAGACATCCTGGTTTCAAATGAACCTGAACAAAATGTTTTTTTTTATAGTCAACCAATACACATGATCTGCTCAGATGAATTTTTAGGTGGCTTATTCTTAAGTGGAAGGAATGTTTTCGAGAAACCATATTGTGTTAAAGCAATACACACCATATCATAAGCACTTGCTATAAAGTGTCCTGTTTTCAGCAAACGTGTCCATTTTTCAAACTGAGTCGGACCTGTAAGACAAGGAACTAGCGCATTGAGAATTTCATCATAATTTGCTTTGTTTCAGTATAACTTTGTGTATGATTCCCTTTGCAACGTCGTCTCTTGTATAAGACTAAGACAGACAAATTAGTAGTTGTCCTTTCCCTTACCAAGCAAATCCGAAACAACTCGAAAACCATAGTTGTTGTCACTTCCGACATCTACAATCCACTCAATGTATTTGTGTATAAAAAGCAACATCTCTTCAATATGTGTGATTTTTTGTAACGGCAGTGGAGGAGTTAGTTTGATAATGCAAGAGCACCCTTAACACTCTTTTAGGATTTTGGAGTTGGAGAATTCGGAAACTGTGAGTCAACATGTTCAAAGTATGAAGGAGATTGTGGAGTTGTCACTTTGTGTCGATTTGACCTATTTAGGGGCATACTTTGTTTTAACTAGTTCTGACGGTGGTTTCAAATATGTTGTTTATGGATAGAAAATCTTCCTCAATTGCTCTTTGATGTCCAATTTCATTATGTCATCAACTTTCATGAATCTCTCTTGGATCACTTCCCACTTGGTCATTATAGAAATGTTTGATTTACCATTCGTCATCATCAAAACAGGGCATTTTCTAATGAGTGCAAACTCCATCCATACATATTGGTTTTTCAAGCTCTATTTTCTTTGAAATTAAACAAGCACGTGGAAGATCGTAAGTCTTCCTAAGTATAGATTCACACTTTGAGCTATCTGAAACTGATTTATCCGCTTCCTTGGCTTCATGAAAAATAAAATTCAAAGTCGTCCAAGATATGTTGCCAACCAATTGTGAATAAATGATGTTGTCTTTGAAGCGGTGCTCTAACACAATAATGCTCTGACCAAAAAAGATGTGTGTACCTCATTATGTTGATTTCAAAGCATTTGGTCCACGACGTCCCAATCTCGACAAAGTCACATTTACTATTTCTCAACCAATTCTTCAGTCTAGCATGTGTAGATTCAACTCTATTAGTTGTTGTATTGCCAAAGTATCGAACCTGATCGGTCCATGCACAAACAATATTCTCTTTTACCTGATACAGAATAGTTCCCTCAACATATTTCATCGAATTTGGTATATCTCACACACACTCGTGGAATGTAGAACATAGTCGACATATAATTCTTCTGTGGAAGAATTTATTATAGAATTCCATGCATCCATTATATTTTACACCACCACGCCAGGTTTGACAAGTTTTCCATCTTCACATTTGA